TCCAAGAAAGCTGGCACACTACCTTTAAGGAAGAAAATGTCGAGCTCAGCATCGTTTTCTCAGCTTATGGTCTATTTCGTCGTATTGTGTGTTCGTATCAACCTTCCTTTGTACGTTCATTTTACCCATCTTCATCATCCTCCCTTCTTCATTTTCCTCTCTCCCTCCCTCTCTCTCTCTCTCTCTCTCCCTCTCCCTCTCCCTCGCCAGGGGTCCAAAAAGTTTGCCGACTGTCTCCCTCCTAGAAACGTACAGGTCAAGTGTCTCCGTACAAAAATGTATCAATATACCTGTGACATATATTGACACATAGGATAGGCAAAGCGATTGCGATTGCTTGCAAGAAAAGCGAGAGGATGGGCTATAAATAGCCTCCCCCTAGTGGGGTGCGAGTTTAATAAACAAACAGCTCTGGTCTAATAGAATAGATTTCAGAATAATCTAAACTTCTAAAACCTGTAAATGCTGTGGATCAGACTAGGCACTAAGAAGCAGAGTAATGGGCAAAGGCATAGACAAATAGACATTCTGGTCAGGCCATGGGACAGCATTCATCATGTAGTAGCTTTCCAGTTGGATTCTTAAAAAAAAATGACAACATGCTTTATGATCTATTATTCTTGATGACTAGGAAATGCTTCATTGTATTCTTAAATCTTAATGCAGAATAATATTGTTTTTGCCACATATCAGTGATGTTTCAGTGCAAATTTTACCAACATAGTCCATGCCATTCACTTCTGAGGAGCAGCCACATTTCAAATGTTTGATTTCTTACAAAAACTATGCCTACATATGGGAACAGAGATGCTTGCACAATGAACCCTTTTGATTGCTCAATTTAGATGCAAGTGGCATATTCAGAACATTCCAATGAGGTGGCAAAATGTGTACAGCCTTTCAAGAGGCTACAGGTTCAAGACGAAGGGTCCATGGGGGCCTGTCTGTGAATCAGAAAAGGGTCAGGTGCCCTGTTTTGGCTGATCCAATGAAAAGTGAAGTGAAAAATCAGCTTAGTTGTAACTGTTGGATAATTTGGATATCTATCACCCATGTGTCAATGACTTGTAAGCAGTAAGCACTCAAAAACAGCTTCTGAAAATCAATCTGCTGGCTTTTGAGGAGAAGAAGTTGCATTTTGCATAAGAAATGACACAGTTAAAATTTGGGATAGGTAAGGTGTTATTTATATCATAGATTACATGATCATCATCATCATCATCATCATACTGTTTATTGGCACCAATTGGCATGAAATGCTTACTTGAGACTCGGAACTGAGTCACCTATTGGTACCCACCTACAGGCTACAAAAGTTTTATTTGAAATAAAACTTGAAGTTAACAGGCTGACCAATGCATATAATTTGGTCCCACAGTATACCTAGCATTACAATTAGGAGACATTTAAAAACAAACTACCAATCCTCTCAGCCTTACGGAACAAAATAAAACAATACTGCAAACAGGTAGGTAACATCACAGTGCTCTCCTAAAACCACACATGTGGCAATCAGAGGTAAACTTGCAGTTAGCTGCTACGAGTTTCGTCATATGCATTGAACGGATTGATGAAAAATTGTTTGCGCTTTATAGTTTTATACCACAATTTGATTCACAGAACAAAAGATGCCTATAAAGTATGAATCGAAATTTTAATTTGTTCACAGGCACATGTAATACACATGCTTAGGTACCTTTTTACCCAGTCCAAGACTGCCATTTTCCTCTAGGTCCAAAGCCAGAATCCGTCATCAGCACAGATACCTTGCTTTCCATGTGGCGCTTTAGGTTCTATAGAGCCTTAACATAACATAACATAACATAACATGTATTCCATGTAACAGCAGGCCACTTGGGCCCAACGAGGTTACAGGTAGATGAACAAACACTGTATGTAAAACACGGTACAATTACACCATTTCATCGAACACTAGCCCACGCTGTTTATGATACAAGTCTAACTCATTTTTTAAATTACTTAAGGAGGAACTATTGATAACTCTAGGAGGTAAACCGTTCCAAGCTTCTATGACCCTACTGGTAAAAAAGGACTGTCTTAACTTGGTTCTGGAAAATTTCTTTACTAGTTTGCACCCATTTCCTCTCGTGGAATTTGTATTGAGTGTAAACATCTTCCCAAAATCTAACTTATCAATCCTTTTGTATATTTTAAAAAGTTCAATCAAATCCCCTCTTATCCTGCGGTAATGAAGTGAAAACATATTTAAGGAAGCCAGCCTTGGGTTCTTATACACAACTTCGACGCCGCACGGCACTTCACCTTACTTCTGGATAGATAGGGCATCTCAGAACATGGGAACTACTTGTAGGCCTGCTTGTAGGAATAAAGAAAAGACCAAATCAAAATATTTAACCACACCGCACGTAGTGCCGCACGTAAAGCAACGTACGCCAGAACTCCGCCAGTTTGAGTTTGCGGCGTTCAGTTGGTTCTGACCTTGGTTCTGACTTGGTGCAAAATATGACGTCATTATAGAGTCATATGCTCAGTTTTCTTTTAATTTTCTTTTTAACTCTTGTTTTTCATCAATTTCTTATTCAAAAAAAGATATTTGAATAACATCTATGTAATTTCATCAGCATACTGAATGAAATGCAAAGATCCTTCATTCAATAGATGACGTAAATTATATCTGTGTCTCCGGGGCCCAATCTTATAAACGTCGTGAAATGGATATGGCAGCACTCTAAGGCTGGATATTCATTCATTCATTCATTCATATTTATTTTGCACCAAACATTGGCAAATTCCCGACAGCTGATAACAAACAATCATCAGAAATGACAAAACCGTCATGTGTCAGCACGGAGCTTAGGCCACAGGGGCCACGGCCCCCGGTGGGACGTAGCATATATAGTACGCAATCTTATAAAACTCTGTGAAATCGAAAACACGGCACGCTCTTTACGGTATTGGTAGCCGCTGGTTTTGAGGATGCTGTAGAATGATTTTAACCGTGAGCAGCGTGCACATCTCAAAACAGCGACAATCATCAGCTGTTTGCGGTTTCAGCGGCGTCCATTTCACGCCAGAATTTGTGGCGTACTTTGACGAGCTTCTCAGACAGTTTAATTTATTTTAGATAAATTCCATGTTTTTATGATACAACTATGCAATATTGTACATTATGATATTTTTAAGATTAACAAATCCTCCACATATTAACTCATGATTTATTATAATGATGCTTATTATACAGACAACGATCAATTTCAAAATATGTATTTCCAGGAACTAATGCACACATAAAACACATAAAAACGAGTGTTCATCGTTATATGGCTTTATTTTTCAAATTAAAAGGGGATTTTTAAGAGGATTTTAGCACCAGTAACCGTCTTAGATTTTCGGCAGCCACTGCATTATAGAATCGGTATGGGTCTTTAGCCTATTCTCACGTCTCACGTATGACACAAATAACGGACACTTCATGGCTTCTGATTAGATATTTAAATTAATGATTATATACCTTAGTTTGTCAAAAAATTATAAATGCCTACTCACTATTCGTATTTCCTCACTTTCTGTTTGGCACTGTTACTGATCAGTGATCAATCTGTTGTTTCTCTTCCTGCATCTCGATCTGACTTCTGAACCAAGTATCTTGATATAGCTTTGATATGTAGACTGGGTACTTCAATCTTTTGAGGAATTGCGTTTTAGCTTTAGGCTAGGCAATAGGTACCTATGCTTGAATAAGAAGGAAAATAAGCTGTAACTTGACCTAATTCAGTTCATGTACGTAATCTTCGAATTTTAGTAGCTTTATCTTCAAGAAGGAAAATTTAAGAGCTTATGACAAGAAGGAAAATATGCTATATCTTGAATTGATCCAGTTAATGTACGTATCTGATGCTCAAATTGTAGGAGCTTCATTGTCAACGGCATTACTTCAATTACTGAAAGAGTAGCCGAGCTATAATTAAATGATTATTTAAATAATCCTTTATCAAATTTATTGCAATGCCTTAACAGCAAATCAATGCAAATGATAAGTTGAAGAAACACTTTATTCACCGATTTTCTGAGCGCGAGAATGCCCTCGCTGAAATTTTTTTGGTCGGCAATCCACTTTTCAGGAGAATTCTTCAAGCATGTTGGTGTTTTCCATACTTTGCTATCACGTTTTCCATAAATAATTTATTTATTACACATATGTGTGTCTCTAAAAGAAATAAATGCCCTATAAAAATTAAAACACATAACTTTTGCTGTTCGCAAACAGTATGCATAATTTCCAATAGCGACGGCGACAAGACATTGACCAATCACGTTGCGTGTTTCCTGCTGGCGTTGATTTGTACTGTGGGCAAAATGGCGTGAATAGAATTACCATACTATTCTCTTTATAAGATTGCGTGAATAGGGTGCCGTAAATAGAGTGGGGTGGAATGATAGTACGCCATTTGGTAGCACAACCTTTATAAGATTGGGCCCTGGGCCCAATCTTATAAAGGCCGTGAAATGGATATGGCAGCACTCTAAGGCTGGATATATAGTACGCAATCTTATAAAGCTCTGTGAAATCGAAAACACGGCACGCTCTTTACGGTTTTGGTAACCCCCAGTTTTGGATGTGCCGTAGAATGATTTTAACCGTGAGCAGCGTGCACATCTCAAAACACAAACAATAATCAGCTGATTGCGGCATCGTCGGCACCTATTCCACGCCAGAATTTGTGGCGTACTATAACAGCCTGCCCGCAGTGTTGAATGTTGTTGTTTGAAAATTGTGTGAATTCCGAACTGTGAAGTTGAAATTAAATCGAATTGAATTAATTAAGACATGCCGAGGAAGATTCGAGAAGCAGAACGTTGCAAGAGATTGGAGTTTTTTAGGTTTTGTGTGCAAAATAAATACGTAAGTTTTCCAACATATCCCTATACCATGATACCTACTCCGATGTTTCATTGTTCACGGTTTTAATTTTTTTAAGAATTAATTAGTGTTTTGTTTGAGTTGTTTGCTTTACACAATTTCCTTTATGAGTTATCATATTGGGCTATTGATTACAATTATTGTTGAAACTTGGGTGTTAGTAGGGCTTGACGTCGCACGAAGGTTTTCCAACCAAGGAAAAACAAACCTAACCAAACCTGACCTAACCCTACCTACAACCTACAACCTACAAACCTACAGTGTCTAATCTTGGTTGGAAATCCTTTGTGTGACATCTGCTCAACTAATGTCGAAACTTGATTCGCTTCCAACCGATGAGAGGTGCTGTAGGTTTTTAGATTGTGGGGTAGGTTTGTATGTTTTTATGTTGTTGGTGGTAGGTTTTTAGGTTGTACGTAATAGGTTTACTCAGGTTGGGTTCCCATTGTCATTTAAGGAAGGCAGAGAGGAAGTGAGTGGGAGGAACAGGAACCCTGAAATCTGAATCCTAGATGCACCAGCCGAAGTTCTTGGCTGGTGAAGTTGTGAAGTAAGAATGCTGAGAAGGTTGAGCGTCTTTCATGATGACATTCGTAATTACAAACATTTAACTCAAGGTAGATTACACAAGAGTACGGCTCAGTAAACAAAACATGAGAGAAGCAATGATAAGCTGCGATGCAGGTTGTGACTGTGAGTTTCACGCAAAGTCAAATAGTCTATCATTCAAGTGCAAATGAAGCATTTCCTGAAACTTTCCTTAAGCTTAATACTTAGGCATCAGTAGAAATGCAACGGTTTATTGAACTTAATTTAACCTCTGCTGTAGGTATGAACAAACAGGGAACAAGCAGAATACAAAGAGCATCAGTTTAAACACCAAGGGCACCACCTTCGTGATTAACGAGCAGTTAACCAAATGTATGTAATGTTTTTAACACCCATTTAAAGATCAATGATTTTTGTTGTTTATGATGAATTATTGATGATGCTATGTTTCCATGTTTGGTAGTTCAGTTGAACACCATATTATAAAAATGACCTTAGTTCACTGAAGTGCTTAGCAAGTCACATATGCAATCAATGCCACAATACGCTATTATACTTGTGCTACATATATATCATAGGTGCCGCATTTTGATTCAGGATTGATTTGTAGGTTTCATTTCATCCGCAGGGCCCAACACATGCTGCTGGCAGCAGTATGGATGCTGCTTCAACTCGACATAGACTTGGGGAGCAAGACTGGACGCCGACCAGCATAACATACAATATGCTATCCACATTTATTTTTCAGCATGCCATCGCTATTAAAACGATTGATGTGATTTGATCTTATGCAAGCCTCTTTCACGACTTGACCTCTTCTTTGGTTTCAGTCTTCTTTGCTGGCTGTGCACTTTCTCTGGAATGTCTTGTTACCTTCTTCGTCCACATATGCCATCCTCATTTCTTTTTCAGCATGCCATCGCTATTAAAACAATTGATGTGATTTGATCTTATGCAAGCCTCTTTCACGACTTGACCTCTTCTTCGATTTCAGTCTTCTTTGCTGGCTGTTCACTTTTGCTGGAATGTCTTGTTACCTTCTTCGTACTTGCACATACAATTTATATCAATGGCAGTGTGCATGGATCTTCTTTCTCAGTAATGTATGCTGTCTTACCCCAGAAATACCAGTGTTTGAACAGTGAGAAGAGTGTGGTGCACAATGTCAAGCTCATAGCATGAATACCTTTCGGGGTTTGCCTTATGCTTTATTGTCACCATCCGGATTGAGAATGTCATGCACACTTCTGCAGCTTTTCTGTTGATGGACAGCACTTCCCAGTTCAGCTTCAAATCACTATTGAGGGCCAGCAATATGTGCTATGTTTCTTCTGCACGTTCCTATGCTCCTGGGTCCTGACGTACTCTTCATACTCATATTTCCAGTTTTCTGGGTGTTGCTTGTCATTTGTGCATTCTGTTTTTTGTGATTGCCGTCTGCTTATCCAGTTGTACAGTAAATATTGCCATCTACCTACTTCAGGTTTGATTGCTCAAAGCTAAAGTCCATCCATCTCATGAGCTTTACGTATAACGTACTCTTGCCGGTTCGTCAGAGAATGCGTTATGCAATGAATTTTCAAATTTGCTGGACTTGTCAGAAATTATAAACGCAATTGTCTGCAAATTTTTCTGTTGGATTTGATATTTGGGTTTGTCTTTCCTGATGTTCTGACAGGCGTTATTCGGAAAGCTGAGAGGCGCTGCAGCGGGAGGGATCCGTGCGCAGAAGTGGGCCGAGGCGTTGCAGCTGGCAGCGTCGCTGGGCCTGGTACCGCTTGCATGCGATCAGCGGCACCTGCGCAAGACCTTAATAAAAAATCAGCTGGCTTCTAGTCGAGGTGTGTTGAGTGTGTTAAGTTTTCAAACATGTGATGTCTCATACTCACCTTGTAAAAAATGTTATTCTTCAGTAGCAAAGGTCATATGTGCGTATTTTAACTTTTGCTTTTTCTCCTAAGTTTTTGCGTGATTTCACCCCTGCAATAGTGCAGTTCCTTTCTGAATGTCACATTAATTCAGACTCTCAGTACAAAGTAATTCGTCGTTTTTTTTTTAAATTCATTTATGTATTTAATTCATTCATCTTTTTATAGAAGTGGCTGCGATTATTCTCTTTTTTTTTTCAGGTCGCCGTGACCGCCAGAGAAAAACTGGCAATGGCGTTCAAGAACCGCTCGACGAGTTGGACGAGCTCGTCCTTAGCATGGACGATGGCTGTAAGTTTTTAAGTATGCGCATTATAACAGACAGTGCTCACTGCTCGCTACCGTATGTTTCCGCCATTATTGTGTTCCTTGTGCACATAAGTGTCTCAACCCGGCAGTTGGTTGGGGCGGTAAACGCTCGCCAGCCGAAACTGGGAACTCCTAGTACCTGTATTATTGTTTACATCTGTCGCTGATTGCAACTCTCGTTTTGGTCAACTGCACTGACTGAATTTTTTCTTGTTCATTTCAGCATACGATTATATCGTCCCGGGAGCCCAAAACTCCCTAGACGCCAGCCAGAGTTCGGCGGAGGAGTTGTGGGCGGCCGCGGCTGTGGTCCCGTCTGTCGCCACCAGCTCTACCCCGGCTGCCGCCATCGCTTCCACGCCTGTCGCGACCTCTGCCCCGCCTACCGCCGGCGCCTCCCGGCCTGCTACCGGCGCTTCCGCGCCTACCGCCGGCGCCTCCCGGCCTGCCGCCGGCGCTTCCCCGCCTGCCGCCTGGCCTTCCCTGCCTGCCGCCGGCGCCTCCCGGCCTGCCGCCGGCGCCTCCCGGCCTGCCGCCGGCGCCTCCCGGCCTGCCGCCGGCGCCTCCCGGCCTGCCGCCGGCGCTTCCCGGCCTGCCGCCGGCGCCTCCCTGCCTGCCGCCGGCGCCTCCCTGCCTGCCGCCGGCGCCTCCCGGCCTGCCGCCGGCGCTTCCCGGCCTGCCGCCGGCGCTTCCCTGCCTGCCGCCGGCGCTTCCCCGCCTGCCGCCGGCGCCTCCCGGCCTGCCGCCGGCGCTTCCCGGCCTGCCGCCGGCGCTTCCCTGCCTGCCGCCGGCGCTTCCCGGCCTGCCGCCGGCGCCTCCCGGCCTGCCGCCGGTGCTTCCCCGCCTGCCGCCGGTGCCTCCCCGCCTGCCGCCGGTGCCTCCCCGCCTGCCGCCCGGCCTTCCCCGCCTGCCGCCGGCGCCTCCCCGCCTGCCGCCGGCGCTTCCCCGCCTGCCGCCTGGCCTTCCCCGCCTGCCGCCTGGCCTTCCCCGCCTGCCGCCGGCGCTTCCCCGTCTGCCGCCTGGCCTTCCCCGCCTGCCGCCTGGCCTTCCCCGCCTGCCGCCTGGCCTTCCCCGCCTGCCGCCGGCGCTTCCCCGCCTGCCGCCGGCGCTTCCCCGCCTGCCGCCTGGCCTTCCCCGCCTGCCGCCGGCGCCTCCCGGCCTGCTGCCGGCGCCTCCCCGCCTGCCGCCGGCGCCTCCCGGCCTGCCGCCGGCGCCTCCCGGCCTGCCGCCGGCGCCTCCCGGCCTGCCGCCGGCGCCTCCCGGCCTGCTGCCGGCGCTTCCCCGCATGCTGCCGGCGCCCCCCGGCCTGCTGCCTGGCCTTCCCAGCCTGCTGCCGGCGCTTCCCCTTCTGGTGCCAGGGCGTACACACCCTGGGGCCCAGCCGTGCCCTCGCATGAAGAGGTTCTGCGAGAGATGCAGCGGCGGCGAAGCATTGCCGAGAGGAATGTGATGCTGCTGTCGCTGCCGCTGCTGTACCTAACGGCTGAGGAGAGGGTGGAGGTCGCCGGCTATTATGCCGCCTCTCTCCTGAAACGGTTTGGCCAATAGGCAACGTGTGGAAGAGGGCATTCGTGTACCGACTTGCCGGTGTTATTTGGCTTTATTGTTTTGTTTTTGTTTCGCAAGCGCCGTAATGTTCTTAATGCGGCGAAGTGTTTAGCAAGCAGCGACTGAGCGTACCCACTACGCAGGGCAAGGAGTTTTATGTTGTGCTGTAACCGTGTACACAATTGTGATCTGAAAGCCAGTTGACATAATAAATTATGTTATTTACAAGACAGTAATTCAGCGTTCGAGGCACAAGGGATAACGAATAAGACAATCCGCTTTGGTGACGCGACGCAGGCGCCGCCTAGGCGACACGCTTCGAGGGTAGCGGCATCTGGTGGTAGAATTGGGTCTTGTTTGCCGTCAAAGGAGGCGAACCTACACAGATAGTCTGTTGTCACAATTGTTACCCTTATAACGGAACAAATTTTGTTATATACAAGACAGTAATTCCACGCTCAAAGCACCAGCGGTTCCGCCCACATCACAATCCGCTTTGGTGACGCGCCGCAGGCGCCGCCTAGGTAACATGCGTCGATGGTAGCGGCATCTGGTGGTAGATTCGAGTCTTATTTTCCGTAAAAGGAGGCAAGCCTACGCATATATCGGAGAATAAAAAAGACGAACATAAACTAGGGGATAAGCACTATTGAACGAGTTACTAGCAAAGGTCCAAATGACAGGCTGCGCTTACCCAGGTCAACCTACCGGCTGACACGCGGTGCCACCCGTCCGGCTGGGCGGCGTTCCACAGCCGCCGCTTGCACGCCATCCGCACACGCGGCAAATTTGGTTTCCACGGAGACATCAACAAACTCCAACGCTCCAAAACTATCACATCCTGTGACATCAGCTACCGAAATGCGCTAGCAACGTGGTAGCAGCTTCCGTTGTAACGCCGCCCGGGCCACGCCTGGTACCGTGACTGGAGGGCGGATCCAGGCAGTCAGCCGCTCACCGGCCAGTCGGCCGGTGGACCACCAACTGGGCGGTGTTACAACGGAAGCTGCTACCACGCTGCTAGCGCATTTCGGTAGCTGATGTCACAGGATGTGATAGTTTTGGAGCGTTGGAGTTTGTTGATGTCTCCGTGGAAACCAAATTTGCCGCGTGTGCGGACGGCGTGCAAGCGGCGGCCGTGAAACACGAGAGACGTGACACTGACGCTTCACATTGGCGGCTGGCATCGTGCGGCTGTCTACCGCAGGAACCTCCTGACAAACTGCGCGCGCCGAGCGAAAGCTCTGCGCCTCACAGCTGCTTCTGGCTCCGCCTCCGCTGCCTCTGGCTCACGCTGCCGGGCCACCGGCTCGACAGGCTGCGGCGCTCTGGCGTCGCGCTCGTGGTCCAACCATTCGCCTCCGTCGCCGGCCAATTTGGCGATGTTGTGCAGTACGCAGCACGACCTGTGCGATGAATGAGTCCTAACGAAATTAGCATTACTTGAGACAAGTTGCATTCTTTAATACATAAAGTAACGTTAAACGAAAACAAGTATAATATTTCCAACTTTGAGTTAAGTTAACCCGCGAGTTAGAAAGAAACCACGACCAAGAAACTACGCGACCAAGAAAGAAACCAGGGCTGCGGAGTCGGAGTTCGGAGTTTGAGTTGGAGTCAGAGACGGAGTCGATTTTTGAAGCTAGAGTCGGAGTCGGAGTCCCCTTAAAATCCATCGACTCCGCAGCCCTGAAAGAAGCTATGACTTACATCACCGCCAAAACCGAGTCGGCGACACGTCGGAGCCGCAGCCCGCTGCCTTGGAGGCACGCCCACCTCATCTTCAGTTGCCCGAAGGCCTGCTCCACCGAGACGCGTGTGCGGCAGTGCGCGCGGTTGTACCTGCCAATGCCGACATAAAATTGAAATGCAGGTGAACATTAGTTGAATGAAAGAAAAACATCCATAAATACATTACTTTCCATATGATAAAGAATGAACGTACAAATAACCAACAGACAATGAACGGGCAAAATCCTGGGATGTAAGTGCGTGAAGGATGCGACAGGAACGTGCAGAAGAAACACAGCACATATTGCTGGCCCTCAATAGTGATTTGAAGCTGAACTGGGAAGTGCTGTCCATCAACAGAAAAGCTGCAGAAGTGTGCATGACATTCTCAATCCGGATGGTGACAATAAAGCATAAGGCAAACCCCGAAAGGTATTCATGCTATGAGCTTGACATTGTGCACCACACTCTTCTCACTGTTCAAACACTGGTATTTCTGGGGTAAGACAGCATACATTACTGAGAAAGAAGATCCATGCACACTGCCATTGATATAAATTGTATGTGCAAGTACGAAGAAGGTAACAAGACATTCCAGCAAAAGTGAACAGCCAGCAAAGAAGACTGAAATCGAAGAAGAGGTCAAGTCGTGAAAGAGGCTTGCATAAGATCAAATCACATCAATTGTTTTAATAGCGATGGCATGCTGAAAAAGAAATGAGGATGGCATATGTGGACGAAGAAGGTAACAAGACATTCCAGAGAAAGTGCACAGCCAGCAAAGAAGACTGAAACCAAAGAAGAGGTCAAGTCGTGAAAGAGGCTTGCATAAGATCAAATCACATCAATCGTTTTAATAGCGATGGCATGCTGAAAAATAAATGTGGATAGCATATTGTATGTTATGCTGGTCGGCGTCCAGTCTTGCTCCCCAAGTCTATGTCGAGTTGAAGCAGCATCCATACTGCTGCCAGCAGCATGTGTTGGGCCCTGCGGAATGCATGAGTTCATCAAGAATATTAACAACATCATACCAGATAGCAACAGCTGGAACAAGATCGCAACCAGACATGTGCACGGATCCGAGTGATGGATCCATGATCTCGGTGGATCTCAAGCAAACCATTAGACTTGGATCTATGATCCCTAATGGATCTCTCGATAAATTAAAGAGCATCAGATCTATAATAGTCACCCATCTATGATTCCGTCGGATCCGAGATCAGGATCCTTAGGATCAGACCCCAGATCCATTTTCTCGGATCCATGCACGTCTGATCATAACCAACACAACTTATGTTACGCAGTGATCTGGCGGATACAACTGCAATACAATGGCGGATACAGTCGTTTTCATCTCACCGTTCTTCGGCCTCAGTGGTTGGTCGGTCTATGGGAGTAAGCAGCCACGTGCGGCTTGGATAGGCACTGTCTCCCAAGATGACGGGCTCCTCGACAGGTACCAGGGCGTTCCTCTCCAGCCTGAAAGATTGATAATCAATAATCAATGACTTGACGATGACAGCCTGAAAGATAATCAATGACTTTCAAGAGGCCATCGCCAATGATGGCGTGCTTGATGAACACCGGTTCAGAAGCCACCCATCAGTTGATTACGATCACATTTACATGGAGGAAAAACGCATTAAGTCGAAACAGCACAATGGTCTCCCATTAACCTGCGCCCCGTGGGGAAGGGGGACCGAAAAAGACAGGGGCCCCTCTCTTTTTCCGTAGATATTTCCGAAACGGCTGCAGATATCGTCACCAAACTTTCAGAACCCCTCCGGGCATCGATTAACCTTGACCTGACCTTTACCAGAACGTAACCTTAACTGGCCCCAAAGGTCGCCCGACCCACAAGATCGCATTTGTCATGTAAAATGAACCATAAAACATTTATCACACCACACTTCATATTGTGACCCTCAGTGACCTGAGCTCTGTGAAAATTCGACCTTTTACCTGACCTGAGACGTCATTGGTTAGGCCGAGGTCAATGAAATTAGGTCACACGGTAGTTCCCTGTTGGGGCTATCTAACGCCGTTTGAATTTTGAAAATCGGCCGGTAACTTTCCGAGACCTTAGGGGGGGGGGACCGAAACACCCCCCCCCCATCGGATGGTAGGGTCCGCCGCGGTTAACACTTTTTACCTCTCTGGGAGGCCGGATGTCGCCAGAACCCGGGAGTCGTGCTGCCGACCCCCAGCATGGGCGCTGACGGCAAAAAACTTTCCGTCGGGCCCGGCAACCGCCATGACGTTAAGGGAAGTTTGCTGGTGTCTGTTAATGAACGCGTTCTCCTCCCTCGCTGGGGCTCGGATCTGCACGTGGCAGCCGTCTATGCACCCTGTGGCATGTCCAGGAAACACGCAATGATGCACATATCTATAAGTTAAGTTTATGGCAGGGGTCGGGTCATTCTTAACATTTGAAACACCAAATAACAAGTAAGATAACACACAATCGGACAATGGCACCCGTGATCCCTCATTATGTCCCTGAGGGCATCTCAGGTCACGAATAGGTTTATCAGTTTTCACTAATGACTTCTGATAGATGCATGCTAGAGCGATGCATACGCCTTATAGATGTGTTTGTTCGATAAAACGGATCGACTGATAATGGTAACCTACCTGACGAAAATCTGAGACGGATGCTGATCGGGGTACTGGTAAAGTGGTACACAACAAAAAAGACCATTTCTGAGGCATGAGCATCTTACCGATGACATCTGGCAGGCCGCCCATCTCGAAGAAGCGCAGCTGCACGGCGCGGCAGGCCTCCCTGGTCTGAGGGAAACTTATCAACCCCAACAGCCTGTGTACCAAGGCAGCCATCACACGATGTATGGTGCGGTGGATGGTGGCGCGGCTAGGACCGTGGGCGTCACCGACCACCGTGTAAAAACTGCCGGTGGCCAGGAACCTGGGGACATGTTTCGGATCATTTGTTTTGTCATATTTTGCATTATGAAGCTGGAATGGTTGGGATAGTCGTATTCCACAGAAAAGCATTGATCAACTGATGAAAGGTACCTACAAGGGGTAAGGTACAGCATGATGAATGTCCTTTGCTATGTAATTGTACCTAGGTGGCATGCTATGGTCCTTCAGAGCCCAGGCACAATTTACTGTATGAGGCTGGAAGCAAACTAGGACATGCAAAACATTATGCCTATTTCTTCAATCACAGAGGCACACATCAGTGCCCGCAGCTGCATGTCAAAATGTATGACAAATCAAAGAAATAGCAACACTTCAGGTTCAGAAAGCTGGACTCGAGCATTTGAGAAAGAGTCAAACTCAGCTAGCTACATGTGTCACTGACAAGAAGATACACATGGGTTCTAGGATTCCTCATAAGCTGAAACATATATTGAAATATTTGTTAGGACTTAGGATATCTTAGCAGACATTGAAGAGAAATAAGTAAAGATTCAGAAGCATAACAGAAGGGCACAAGGTGGATAAAGGGACAAGGTGCATAAAGGGATGGAAGAGATTGTCATCATTTGGCAGCAGTGGCAACAAATCATTGCGACTATGACCAAGTAATGCAATGTGATGAAATGTAAACCGTGTAATGTATCGAAAGAGAATGCCAAGAAGCTCCAAAACCAAGATGCTGCAGTTTGCTGTGAAAGATTTGTTTTGTCATGCTGAAGAATTGAAGTGAAGAGAGGAGCATGAAGTCAGCAGAGGAGCTGGAGGAAGGAGCCTTAAGACTAAGGTCATGCAAGGATGTAGCTTTGCAGGCCGTCGTCTTCATCCACAGCCCTGAGATGAGCTTGCTGATGATTGTGTCTTGATGACGCAGCGGAGAAGCTGCCCTGTGAAACAAATATCACCAATGAAGTTCGCCTGCCAAGCCCTAATGAGTAAATGCTAACATGTTCAGATGATACAAATTTACTCATGAAGCAAGCAAATCATTCAGTAAATCTAAAAAAAGCAGTAGCAGATATTAAAAAAAAAACTAAAAACAGAACTGAAAGACAATAATGCCCAGTGTGTATTCTTTTAGATATTTTTAAGGCAACGGTGAAAGACATGACTGTATCATACATCTGGTTTATTCAACGGCCGGTGAGGAATGGTGTAAACTGGTGTGAAGAAATAGACCAGTCAGAAAAATTCACCAGTTTGCCTCAGCTAACAATGTGAGATAGCCTTGCTCAAACATAGCCAATGGGTTTTTGTCTTAAACATTAATTTATTGCTGGCATACAGTAAAATACACACCAAACATTGCCAGTGGCAACTCGGTCAGCGACTGATCTTTGAGCCTAAGAACCTTGGTCATGAAAATTCATTTGCACTGGGCCAGATCTTGTTCAGTATGGCATAGACCAATGAAACAACAAGCAGACAACTAGCATAGTGACTAAATTTGAACAGAAAATAATTGTCTACCATTGCATGTTGAGTATTTTGACATTTGCCCACATAATATAGCTTAAAATTGACAGCCATGCAATATGGTAAACAATTGCTGGCACAGCTTAAGCTTGCAACAGTTGGAAAGTAAATGCCACCTACCTCAGGGTGACCAGCACTTGCTGCCTCGGTGTCAGGGCCATGTTTCGCCTGGTAGGGTGACTGATGTCGTCTTCAATTACTCGGACTATCTGGCCCACTACGTCCGAGGTTAGTCGGAATCTCTCTCTAAGAGGAAAAGGCATGTAGGCATTAAAACAAGCACAATTTGTGGGTGTCCCAACATTGAAAGAAAATGGACAACTCTATACAACATAACAATGATTACAACTTTCCAGGTTAACTCATCAATATACTTGTACCGAAGGTTAAGTAGTTTTTGGAAATCAAATAAGTTTTAGTAGGAGATTGAACCGTTGCAGCATTTCAAACCACATTTTTCAATTCTTAACAAAATCATCCTCTACGAAACCTTCTACCCAATCGATATGCCTGCCAAAATGAGTTCTAGATAATTACAAGAAACTCAAAGTTGAAGTACACTTACCTGAACTTCTCCGGAGTTAGATCCTCCTCGGTGTTAATCCTAGGCCGGAAAACCCGACCAGCCCTTATATTGGGCATCTGGCCGAGTTAGATAGAGAAATAGAAATAGGTATATACAAATATTAATATAAAACAGGTCAGTAAAAATTAAAAAGATCTACACTTCACATCAATGAACAATAAGCTCAAAATCTCAAAATACCAAGCCCATCAAGCCCAATCAAGCCGAAACTGAAATAACAGAGGAGCGCCGGCGTGGTTACCATGACAACGTACCCAGCAGCAGCGCATCACGCCACTTATCGTCGCAATAGCATGATGTACGAAAGGTATCATCAACAGAAATCTCGTCCGGATCCGACCAATCAAATCGCGCGATTTTCGCTAGCGCCGGATAGTACCGTGGGCAAAATGGCGTGAATAGAATTGCCACACTATTCTCTTTATAAGATTGCGTGAATAGGGTGCCGTGAATAGAGTGGGGTGGAATGATAGTACGCCATTTGGTAGCACAACCTTTATAAGATTGGGCCCAGGAGCGTCAAAAAATATGCATCGACGGACAGTGCCAGGAAGGGTCATACTCCTATTCGATCGTTAGGGAATCAGCCCTTATTGATTGATTAGCCCTTCCACCTCTGGGTCGGTCGCTTCCACCTCTGGCTGTCTCCGGGGACAGCTGAGAGCCAGTGTTTTTTAAGAGATTTTTCTCTATAATTTCTCTCGATTTCTCATTGCCAATGATGAAATGATAAAGAAATGCAATGAATACTAAAAAAAAACTAGCAGATTTGAGAAACCCGGGAAATGTTCATGCAAAGTCGAAAGCCTGGAAGTGTCTCTTTCTCATCAGTCCTCGACACCAATTCTGTCTCCAACCGGTGTTGGAAGGGTGGAGGGTTTTTGGACCCCTGTGACCCTCGCCCTCACCCTCACCCTCACCCTCACCCTCACCCTCACCCTCTCCCTCTCCCTCTCTCTCTCTCTCTCTCTATCTATCTATCTATCTATCTATCTATCTATCTATCTATCTATCTATCTCTTTCCCTCCACCCTTCTCTTTCTCCCTCTCCCAGTGTCTACTTCTTCATCTCTCTTCGTCTTTCTCTCCCTGTTCCCTCCCTCCCTGTCTCTCTCTCTCTCCCGACCGCCGTGAAGTGACCTCATTGTTCCAATCTGCCACCTCCCTCTGCTGACCTTTGTTTCAATCTGCGCTGTTTCAGACGCTGTCTGCGCTGAATCCCTTCCGTCAGACAAATGCCGAGATCCTGCAGGACACGGACCTGGCCGGACCGCTGGCATTCTGCCTGGCGTTCGGAGGATTTCTGCTGCTGGTGAGTGTTTTGTGTCTCTCGATTCTGACCTGTCAGGGGGTTTGAACCGTCTCCGCGCAGCAGTGACCGTGTGACGCACACTGCTTTTATCGAGAGTGCCTCGCACGGCTCAATTTTTCACTACATTTCTGTTGGATGACGCCATGATGTCAACGCTCAAAGCCGTTCCACTAATAGTGCGGTTGATGTGATTTCGGATAGATCTATATATCAAGCGGGAACTGTTAGAGGACCAAGTTCGATGGAACTTTGCCGGCTGGTACTCGTTTTTAGTGGATTTTGAAGTCAGTGGTCCGTGAAGACATAGCACGATTGAACGAAACGAGCGAGCAGAGACGTCTTATGTACACCAAAATACATTACTGGGTAGAATCGGAAAACTATTGTTGTAGTATCTAACCTTCGATGGTAAAATTTCATTCAAAATGATGAACTAAAGGTATAATTTAAAGGAGAATTGTTGCCGTAGAGTTTTTGGCTGCTATCCGATGCATAAGTATTCAAGTGCATCGCAATCTGCCTATGCAATATAGTACATATATGCATGTAGGCACTTTGGTGTAAGAGGCTTCTGCTCTTGTGCGTGCCGCCTTGACGCTGACGAAAGGTCAGCTAACAGGTCATCCCATGTCCATCCCTTCCTTGTCTCTCACGTCCCCATCATCTCCTCATCCCTGCCGTCTCTCCTGTCCCTCTGCTGACCGGCCTCGTGTCCGAATAGCTAGCGACAAAACAGCTAGTGTCATTTGAGCTAGTACGTTTGAGCTAGTGCCTCAAAAGAGCTACTGTTAACGCCAGACCTCTTGAGACCCTAATTTTTCGCGATTATTTTTAAATGCGTGGAAGAATTTCAACCAACCTCAGGACATGGCCGTTTCAAGACCTTCCGAAACTTTTATAATTTAGATATTTTGTCGCCATTTCAATATTTCAAGCACTTCTCATTGACTCGTAATGTTAAATTACGAGCAAGATTTTCACTCGGCGTGTAGAGGCTATCACCAGTCAGTCTGTGATACGTTATGACGTCACAGCTAAGCCCCGCCTCTGTGGTCTTGGCCTGCGGCGGTTTCGGGCCGGCGCGCGGTCACTCGCGCTGTGGCGGGGAGCGGGTACGGTCGAGCGGTGCCGAAAGCCGGCGGAGTTGTGCGTAACGTCTTGTCTGACAGTGCCCAAAGAGCGACATGATGACGAGGAGCCATAAATGCTCAATGCGCATTGCTTGTACAAAGCTGATATGTTCGCTGATATTTATTTTATTTTTGATAAGCTGCAAATGACGGGCAGATGTCATATAACTGACATAAGGTTAGGAAATATTCACCTGTATTTAAAGCCTATGGCGTTGCAGATAATGCGATAATGGGATGTCGAATGTCATCAAGTAGCTCCTGATTTGTACATCGCTATGCACCCATCGACCAGCGCAATAATTAGGTAATTGCCTTCGCTTCACATCATAAGGCTCGCTCGTATTTCACCAAACAGATATCCTACATCGAAAATCGTATGTGTTAGGAATCGTTAACGTTTTTTCGAAGCATGTGTGAGTAGTAGATTGAGGAGTGATGGTCCTCTTGGTCCCATATACCTACAAGAATCAACAGGAGCCTAACATTTACTTGACGGTCTGCTGCAATTGATTCATAGCACGTGAAACGTCAGCGAAATTCATAATCCTTTACAGATAGCAGGGGTGTCGTTTGTACAGAGGTCGCTGCTGGGCACGGGTCAATGCCGTAGTCGTGGGCGGAGCCTAATGTCATATGACGTATGAAAGCCTCTATCCAGGATGGAAAAACAGTTAACATTACGAGTCAATGACAAGTGCCACAAATATTTAAGTGACAACAAACTGTATTTGAAGAAAAATTTCGGCAGGTCTTGAATCAGCTATTTCCTAAATATGGTTGAAATTAATCCACGCATTTTAAAATAATCGCGAAAAATTAGGGTCTCAAGGCGTCTGGCGTTAACAGTAGTGATTTAAAAGCTAATGTTAAAATAGCTGGTAACTTATAAGGGCTAGTCCCAAGGAGAGCTAGTGGTGCAAAGAGCTTTGAAGATACCTATTACAATTACTTTGACGATACCTACATTGGGAGGCAGGGACGGAGGGGGCAGAGGAGAACACCAAATTTCGGAAAAGACATGTGGAATGAATTCGCAACGAAGAGGGAATGCCGAGGAACAACAAGAAAATTGAAGGGTGGCACAGGACAATGCAAGGAATGGTGGACTCGCCACACCCGTCACTTTGGTGTTTTCTGGCCGTGATTCAAAAAGAAGAAGCGCTGCAAGCTGCCGAACCTTACAAATTCAAAGCAGGAAACGAAGTTCAAAAACAAGAGAAAAATTATGCCGATATAAATAAACGAATTAAGGTCCTCATTCGCCGTCTCACAGAAGACATCATAAACAGGCAGGAGCTTCTTCACGGAGTTAGATACAACATTTCGATGAACGTTTGAGAATAAAATCTGAGTCGTATGTTTCTGTCTTTTTTAATATTACGACCTTTTTATAGTGACCGATCTGATCTGAACTGAACCTTGAAATCCCGAAGAGGTACGGCGTGAGCCGATCTACTAGCCCTTTACAACACTTGTCATTTTGCTCCTAGCCGTTTTGTGGGACTAGTTACAATCGCACTAGCTATTTTGTGGCACTAGCCCAAATGAGCTAGCTCAAACAACACTAGCTCTTTTGTGGCTAGCTCATTCGTATGTGAATCCTGCTGACCGAAGCGCCGTCCGCTCCCTCCGTCCTATCCCGCTGTCCTATCCCGCTGTCCTCTCCCGCTGTCCTATCCCGCTGTCCTCTCCCTCCGTCCTATCCCGCTGTCCTCTCCCGCCGTCCTTTCCGCCGTCCTCTCCGCCACCCGCTCCGCCGTCCCCTCCCGTCCTGTCCTGTGTTCCGCTCCCGCCGCCCGCCCCCAACACAGGTGAGTCGGTATGGCGATCAGGCGCCGCCGCTTCAAAGAGTTTGACGAGCTGCATCAATGGCCCTGATGAAATGCACGGAATTGGTATTCCCATTGAGCTGCAAACTAGCCGATTACGATAAATTGCGACCGGTTCGGGTGCGCGACGCCGACCATCTCGGGCCCTGCTCAGAATGTCAAATTGCATCCACCAGTTTAGAAATATAGCGGCATGAGCCGATATTGACTCACGCTGTGCCATTCATTCGTCATGATCGGTATTGGATATTTATTTCTTGAAAATGGTCTGCAAATCACTTAAACTCCATTGTATATTTCACTCAACTGTGGAGCTAGTCTATTAAATTGTGACGGGAAACAATTACGCGGGCCTTAGTTGTCCCCACGGGGCGGCCCCATTGGCAGTGTGTTTGTGCGTCGCGGCGCACTGCTCGCTCTGTTAATTAGGGCGCTCCGTGTCGGTATAGGTGACGCGCCGCTCATGTATGCGCCGCTGGCGCCGCTCGAAGGACCGGCGGCCGTAAACCGTCGCCGGGGCCGGGCGGCGCGCTAATTTTGTTTGCCGCTGCCGGTCGACGTTTTCTGGCCGACGGCGTCTCGCGGGTGCCGACGGCGATTTTACCACCTGCCATAAAGGGTCCGGGATACGACGGCCGGGGGAGGGCGCGCCGACGCCACTGACGATGGGGTGGGGAGCGGACTCTTGGATTTACCACAGCCCCAAGAAACTGCCGCTACGGACGGGATGGGGAGCGGGATTCTTGGATTTTACCATGTCCCAAGAAACCGCAGCTACCGGGCTGAGGGAGGTGCCCGCTTCATTTATTAACGGTGCGGTACAATGATGTAGGAAATATCGGTGTCAAACAGCCGTTCGATGACTGAACCGTAATTTATGCAGACTTTCCAATCGATGTTTGATACCTGCCACGTTTCATGGCTCAAACATGAGCTAAGCGATTGGTAATGCCCCATTTTGTGTGTCTGGAACTTGTAATATTGTTTAGTGCACCTGAAAGAAACACTATATTAGACAGTCTTTGGCTTCGCTGTTCCGACGGCGCTTGTGATGGTGGTTGTGCGATACTACCTGTCAACTTTACACTTTTTCTATAGGATTGAGGACCTTACCTTTTCCGTGCCGCCTTTTCTGGTAAGCTACGATCACCTTAACCTCCCCTTGAACTTTATGGTATATCCGAGCCTTACCTCGCTCCATTTCAACCGTTCTTGACGTATTCAAACCGCGCTCCTTTCCATTCTCACCGTTTGTGAGCAGTGCTGACCTTGCGTCGCCGGCTTCTGGTCGACTGGGTTTTGTTTTCGCCCAACTTTGTGGCTCCCAGGCGGCGCCGAAGTGCTGAGGCCCTCGAGTAACTGCCGGTCTCGGAGCCGCGCCGCGCGCAGATAGTGCTGGCTAAGCGC